CTGCTCCAAACTTGGATTATTTCTGCCAGCCCCAGTCAGGCTCCCAGTCATGGATGCCACTTTTTCCTTGCCAAGAACACATTCCTGTCCATTCTGATGCCAGAAATGAGAAGCTATCCCAAGAAATGCCCCTGTACTCACTGTTCTTCAGGCTTGCAGGTCATTCCTCTACCTGGCTGGCTTCTCATTTGCTTTTTGTATATCTGGCTGTGTTCTGGCTCAGGGATATTTGGGTTCAATCCACAAAGAGCAGAGCTCAGCCCAGGGGTGGGCATGGCTGTACCTTGCTTCCACCAAAAGAAATGATCCAACCCAAGGGCTCTCCTGGGAGTATTTGCTTTAGACCTCCTCCCTCCTGTCACTTTCCCCTCTGCTTGTGAGGCCTCTGCTCTCACCCATACAGCTTTTCCAGCAACTTAATTCATTTTGCAATCTAATCCCTGACCAGGGCAGGCTCTGAGCTGGTTTTGAGGATCTTCAAAGTCTTCAACCAGTACAACTGGCCTTGCCCTTGACAGCACACTGATACAAGCTGATATTCCAAAAGCTCCTGGATACTGGCAGCCATTCCAGCCCCAGCTGCAGAGGAGCAGCTGAGCAGTGACACAGCCTTGGGTCTAAACAAGGCAGTGCTGCAGCAGAATAGCCCAGTCCACCTCTCCCTGTCAGCACAGCTGGGACAGGCAGGACACTGCTGCTGCTGCTCCAGCTGCCCTGGCAGGCTGCAGGATTTGTTCCAGGATTTGATCCAGGGGCAGCCCCAGTTCCAGCCCCTGTGCTGAAGGACAGGACACAGTCACAGGCATCACACACAGGTGGGAGCCACCAGAAGGGACATGGAATGGTTATTTCCCTCTGAACACATTGCCAGCCAGCTCTACCTGCCTTGATCCACACTTCTCCAGAACCACAGGAGGTGGAGCCCCACAGAGGAGTCTTTGTGTGCCTTGAAGGAAAAAAAATGTGCTGCAAGCCTGTTCATTCAACTCCAAACCAGTCTTAAAACCTGCAGCTGCTCAGTGCCATGCCTGGCACTGCAGGAGGACACAGCCCTGCTCCATGACTTGCTTTCCAGCTGCCACAAAAGAAAAAGCAGGGGTTATTTGCTTCTGCATCAGGCTGGAGGAAAGGAGCAGGAACGTTGGCAAAGGTGCAGCACAGGCTCCCCAGCAGGAATTAAAATATCAGTGTGTCATCCTCCTTGTTGAAATGAAATTGCAGCTGTGACAAAAAGAAAGATGTGTAGATAAATCAAGAGGAATAAAAATAAATCAAGTCCTGATTGCAAGGCCACAGAGGGACTGCAGGAGGTACCAGCAATACCTGCAAATGAGGAAGAATTGTGAGGTTGTCTCTAAATTGCCTCTCCAGACTGAAAAACAAGAGAGATCAATTATAAAAGCATTTCTACAGTGGCTGTACAGTTTTTAGCCACCATTAACTTGCAGCATTTTCTGGAATTGAGGCTTGCTAAATGCCAGGCATGGGCACACCCAGACCATCCACAAGGAGAGGAGGGGCTCATTTGCTAATTGTGCATTGAGCAGGGGAGGTGAGCTGGGCATGGGCAGGGCTGCTGAAGGGCAACTGGAAAGAAGGAAAAAAAACCTTTATAGGTGACACTAAAGAAGAAGAATGTTTCCAGCTGTGTCTGGGAAGGGCAGGACAGAGGTTTATGTGGAAATGGGTGAATTGCCTGTCTGCTGCCACAAAGCCATTTACTCTTCAAGGTGTTTCATTTTACAATATATTGCTATAAATATTTCAAAAGCCTCAGGGATGCTGTCCCACACTGTGTTCCAGCTTATTTACCTACAGTTACTGTTTTCAACAACTCTGACAAAATATACAAGTTCTCCCACCTTCCCAGTCCTTGTTCCACCTCACAGCCAGGCTCCTTGAGGCAGCTCTGCCCCAAACCCCTCTGCTTGGAGGGCAGCCCTTCCACAGAGCCCCTCTGCAAAGTGAGGCTTATTTAGAATCATGGAATCACAGAATGGGTTGGGCTGGGAGGGACCTCAAAGCTCATCCTGTAGCACCCCTGCCATGGGCAAAGACACCTCCCATGATCCCAGGCTGCTCCAAGCCCCATCCACCCTGGCCTGGGACATTTCCAGGAATGGGGCAGCCACAGCTTCTCTGGGCAACCTGTGCCAGGGCCCCACCACCCTCAGAGGGAAGAATTTCATCCTAATATCAAGCTAAACCTGCTCCCTGTCAGTTTGAAGCCATTGCCCCTTTTCCTGTCACTCCAGGCCCTTGTAAAATGTCTCTCTCCATCTTTGTTGCAGGTTCCCTCCAGGGAGCAGAAGGCTACAATGAAATCACCCTGGAGGCTTCTCTTCTCCAGGCTGGACAATCCCATTTTTCTCTGCCTTTCCTCATGGCAGAAGTGCTCTATCCCTCTGATCACCATGGTGGCCACCCCAAAGCAGCACAGGACACCTGGAAGATGAAACCCCCTCCTGGCAGTGTGAGGTGGCACCAGAAACACAACACAGAAACCTCTGGTGACAGAGACTGGGGAAGCCAGGGCAGGGCCAAAGAGCAGTGGGACAGTCTGGGAACAAACCTAGTGACAAAACTCACCTCCCAGAGCCAGTGCAACCCCAGCAGCTTCCAAACCACAGCCCAGCACAGATGGGCAAACCCTCAAGCATCCCCAGAGCTGGTCCCAGCACGTTCAGCACTTTGGGAAACAGAGGTGCACACCTGTAAGGTTTTTTCAGATCATCTCAGTATGAAAGAAAGTGACAGGATAATGCAAAATAATTGATTTTATTTAAAATAAAAAGCAAAACCACAATCATCCGAACAAGACAAGTATCCCAGCTCTGCTGGATGGGTGATAAAAGCAGCTAAGGGCAGTGGCAGGGCTTGGAGCTGACAGTGGGACTGTCACACAAATGAGTAACACTTTCCTTCCCCCCTCTGCAAGGGGGATGCCAAAAACCTCCCAGTTGCAATGTGCCCACAGAGGCATTCCAGACTGGATTCAGCCAACAGTCTCACTTCCCAGCCCACAATGGCTGGGGACTCAGGGAGGAGAGCAGAGGTTAACTATGAAAGAGGCTCCTGTCTTTCCTAGAAGCATTTGGAGAGGTTTGATGTAACTGAGAAGACAAACAGGAGCCAGCACACAGCAGCTTGAAAGGGGAGGAAGCTCTGCCAGAGGCTCCTGGGTGTCACCTGCTCCCACAGCACTTGTGCAGGAACAGGTGCTGGCACTGGTGCCTCTTGCCCACATTTGTGGTTCTGATGGAGTGTTGGATCATTTCCTCCTGAACTCTCCCAGCCTGTGGCTGTCACCAGGCTCTAAAGCACAGGCAGAGCTCCCAAATCCCATCACCTTTCCTGGAGCAGGCAGGACTGTGACAATGACACCCAGCCTGAGGCTCTCTGCCATCTCTGGGGAACAGAGAAGTGAGGCAGAGCTGTGCTGCTGCTCTGGGCTCAGGGAAATGAGGAAATTTCCTCAAGGAAATGAGGGGTGCACAGGGTGCTGGACCAGCTGCATCCAGGGCCTCCAGAGTACAAAAGCAGCAGGGTTGGAACAAGAGAAACAAGCCTGGAGGAATGAGAGCACAGAGGCCACTGTCCCCAGCCAGCTTCCCACAAGCACAGAGTGAGGGACAAAGGGAGCAGTTTTTAACTGTTCCTCCCTCACCCAGCCTGGGAAGCACCAGCTCCCCCCATTCCTGTAAGGCCAGAGAAGCTGACTCCCTAATGACAAAATTGCATCTAGTCCTATTTAAAACCAGATCCTGCTCCAGCAGGACCCCCTGTTTAGAGCAGGCCATGGAACAGCAACAGCTCAGCCCTGGTGAAAACACAAGTCTTGTTCTGCTACAATTTATGTACCACACAGCAATTCTGGAAGGGCCACCACAGAACACCATGTGGCCAAGAGTGCTGAACAACATCCCCAATGTTTTCTGCTACAAAAAGCTCCCACCAGGCTCAGGTTGCTCAGGATGAATGGAACACTTTTTGTGGGTGGATGGCTCCAAAGCATCTTACACAGCAACTACAGTTCAGCCTCACAACAGCCCTGTGAGGTAGGGATTTTCCTCACTGCTCAAAGACTCACCAAAGTGACTCAGGCAAAAGCCAGAAGTGGAGGAACTGGAGATCCCAGAGTCCTGATTCCCAGGTAAGCCTGCACAGACACTGTTTCACAGCAGGAAGTGCCCTGTGGAGCAGTCAGGAGAGGGCTGCTGGTATCATGATGTCTGCTGTAAACATGCTGCTTTTCTGTGAGGGGTGTCACACCAACACAGGCATCACCTGGGATTGCTGTATTTCACACTATGGAAGATTTCACAGGCATGGAGGAATGCTCTGCACACTGCATCTTCCCACTGTGCTTCTAGAGGCAGAGGTGTGACTTTCCCAGCACAGCAATCAGGCTTTCACATTGGATTTTAGACTGTGCAAACTGAAGCACATGTGCCAAATGCAGCTGCACCTCCCTGAGGTGCTGCCCAGCCTCCAGAGAGGAAGGGACAGCTCTGTAAGGACTCCCCTCCCTGTAACAGAGCTGAGCATTGTGAGCCTTCACCTCTGCAGGCCCCACATGATCCCAAAAGGCAGCAGCTGCAGACATCTCTGAGAGGACACACACAGACTGTGCAGGCTCCCAGGCTGTTCAGCCTTGGTCAGAAATGCCAGGAGTTGGAGAAGTTGGAGGATTTTTTAAAGTGATGTTGTGGAAGAATCTGCAATGGCTACAGAGCAAGTGTGCTTGCTTATGCCTGGCTATCTATCACAGGAAATTTGTGAGTCTGGACAGGTAAAAAATGTATCAATAAACCTTCCCTTTCCCCACCACCACACTGCTCTTACTGGCACAAAAGACTCAAAAACAGAGATCCCAAAAAAACATATTTAGGATTCCTTTATACAAAAGGATATGGTCCAGGAGTGTTTAAATAAGGAACAAGGTTAAAAATGGATCAGAGAGCTCAGAAAAGCAACACTCCAGGTTCCACCAAACCCAACACGTTTAAGAAAGTCACAGTTGAGGCTTTAATCTCTCTTTAATTTGCTCTTTCATCAGTGCCTGGGCATTGCTGTGTGTTTACTACAGCACAGCACTTCTGCTGTCAAGTTTCCTCTCCCAAAGAACGGCTGAAGTGAGTTCTGTAGCCACCTCCTAGGGCTCAGAAGAGCACCCAGTGAAGCAGCCCATGGGAAATTCAGATTTCCTGGCAGCACCTTCAGCAGCCACACAGCACAAGCCCCTGCTAATATAACAAACCAGCAGCTCCAAAAGATCCCTTGGGGACGAGAGCTTTACCTGGCATAATACAAATGCATCTACACAGACTTAAACAACACATTGCATTTTTAAAAAGCATAAAACAACAACATGTCCCCCTCCTCAGTCCTTTAAAATTGGCACTGCAACTTTCAGAAAGGTCTGAATGTACAGCCTCAAAGAGAAGCCATCTGGGGATGTGAACTGCACTGGCCTGAGTGAGCCCACAGCCCCAGAACTGTTTGGTGTTCCAAGCCCAGCACATGTGATCCTGCCAGAGTCAGACTTTGTCAGCAGTTGCCTTGTGCTAAACATCACACCTGAAGGATTGGAAGTACTGGCAAATGCTTTTTCCTGTCACAGTTTTTGCCGTGCAAGGAACTCCAGGATTCTCCTGCTCCACTGAGCTTCCCATCACAAGGTGCCAGTGCAGCTTTGTTACCTGTCACCCTGACAGAGTGGAAGCTGATGGACTGCTGCTGGTCCAGGTGTTGCACCTCAGGTGTGTGCATGGAGCACGCAGATTCAGACCACAACAAATGCTTCAGGCTGGTGGTCACCTCTGCTGAAATTGCTTCAGTGCTTGGGGCATTCACACCACCTTCCCTTCCTTGGCTGAACAGGGATCTTCTCTTGGAAATAAGATGAAAAAGGAAGGTGTTTGCCCAGTGGAAACAAGGTCAGGTGACATGGGAAGAATACAGAAATGCTGCTGCCACTGTAGGAGAAAATTCGTGTGGCCAAAGCTCAGCTGGAGACAAAACTGGCCAGAACCGTGAGGGAAATAAAAAAGAGTTTTTTCAAATATATTAATGGCAAAAAGCAAATTAGAAATAACACTGGCCCATTCCAGGATGAGGATGGTCTCCTCACAAACAGGGACATGGACATGGCAGAGGTGTTTAATGTTTCTTTGCCTGTCTTCAGCACACATGATGGACCAAGGGGGTCTCAGTGCCCTGAGCTGGAGGACTGTGACTGTGGGAATGTCCAACTCCCAGTCAACCCCAAAGCAGCAGGATCTGCTGCTCCACATGGATGCCTACAAATCCATGGGACCTCATGGCATTCAAGATGTCATGGCAAAACCTCTCCATGATTTTTGAGCAGTTTTGGGAATCTGGAGGGGTTCCAGCTCACTGGAAGCTGGCAAATGTCCCAGTTTTCAGCATCAAGGAGGAGAACCCTGGAAACCACAGGCCTGTCAGTCTCACTTCAGTGCCTGGCCAAATAATGGAAGAGATGACTCTGGGAAGTACAGAAAAACACCTGGAGGACAGTGCAGGCATCAGTCACAGCCAGCACAGCTTCATAAGGACAGTCCTGCTTGTTGAATCTGATCTCCTTCTGTGACAGGGTGACCCACCTCACTGATCCAGGAAAGGCAGCAATGTCACCTTTTGGACTTCAGCAAAACTTTGGGTATTGTCTCTCCCAGTGACCTTCTGGACAGACTGTCCAGCTCACAGCTGGTTCATGGTGTTCCATGGTGGGTGAGCCACTGGCTCACAGGCTGGACACAAAGGGTGACAGTGACTGGGGTGACACCAGGGTGGCACTGCCCACTGGGGAGGTTCTGCAGGGCTCCATCCTCAGCCCTGTGCTCTTCAACATCCTCATGAATGACTTGGACACAGGACTGGAAGGAATATTAAGTTTCCCAAAACCATGAAACTGGGAGGAGCTGTCAACTCCCTCAAGGGTAGAGAGGCCTCAACAAATTAGAGATGGGCAATCACCACCCATGAGGAGTTAAACAAGGGCAAGGGCTGCATTCTGCACTGGGGTCCAGGCATTCCTGGTTGGTGGCAGGCTGGATCTGAGCCAGCAGTGCTCTGGAGCCCAGAGAACAAACCATGTCCTGGGGCATCAGGCCCAGCACTGCCAGCCAGGAAAGGGAGGGGATTGTCCTGGGGTGGCCTGACCTTCAGTGCTGGGGGCAATTTTGGGAACCACAACATCTAACAGCCATGAAGCCATTGGAGAGCACCCAAAGGAGGCTGTGAGGATGGTGAAGTCTGGAGGGGGAGCTGTATGAGGAGTGGCTGAGGTCACTTGGTCTGTTCAGCCTGGAGGAGACTGAGGTCAGACCTCATTTGGGTCTTCAGCACCCTCATGAGGGACAGCAGAGGGGCAGGTACCAATCTCTTCACTCTTGTGACCAGTGACAGGACTCGAGGACACGGCTGGAGCTGAGTGAGGGCAGGTTTAGGTTGGATATCACAAAAATGTTTTTCACCTTGAGGGTGGTTGGGCACTGGAACAGGCTCCCCAGGGCAATGGCCACAGCACTGAGCCTGTGTGAGTTCATGAAGTGTTTGGACAATGCTCCTGGGCACAGGGTGGGGTTCTTGGTTTCTGTGCAGGGACAGGAGTGGAACTCGAGGATCCTGATGTGTTCTTTCCAGGTGCCCGAATTCCAGGATTTTATGAGACACACACTTGGAAGCGCCCCAGCCCTGACAGCAATGTTCTCCTGCAGCAGGGTAAGATCCAAGGACTCATTTTCCACAGCTCAGTTCTTGCAGAAGCTCATTTCCTCCTTGTTCTTCCCAAAATTCTGATGTGAGATCCACCAGTCATTCCAACAGGCCAAAAGGGCTGGTGTTCCTTTCCTCAAGTGTACAGGACAACATGTAAACATATGACAGTGTCAAAGCAAGGCAGGTTTTTCCATTACCTGCTGGTTTTAAAAAGAGTTCTTTAAAAACTGACCGTTGCCTTCCTTGCCAGTTCTGTGACCCATGAAATACTTGGCATGTCCTTACCCACAGCTGGGTTATAGTGCAGGGGTCAGAGGGGACAAAGCATTGCACAAAGGACACAGTCGGGGTGTTCCCCTACAGGTTACTCAGGAGCCAACCTTGGACAGCACAAAACGAAGATGGCAGGATCGAGGAAGAGTGACAAAAACGTAAGGAGTGTGAGAAACAGAAGCAGAAGGGAGTAGAACAGAGCTGGCTGGCTGCTAACAGAGCTTCCATCAGCAGCTGCCTCTGGGTAGGTGGTGTTATCCCTCAGGGGTAGCTGCGGCCTCCACAAGATTCCCTAATCCTGTCAAAAAAAGGTACAACTGCCTTTAAGCATTCCCCTTGGATCAGGGCACAAGATCCCAGCATGCAGAATAATCTCAGGCTTATTCTTCCTCCAGCATTGTATGAGCAAGGTTCAGATTTCATGTTTGGAAGCATTTCTAGCAACTAAGCCATCACACAGCTGGATAGAACACCCACCCACCCTCACAGAGTGACACAGTCAACATATGGGAGGCAGAACAGTGAAACCCAGAAAGCAAATGTTCTAGGCAAGGTGCTAATTTTCAATATTTAGGGTATTCATTTCAAAATTTGAATGGCAAATAATTTAAAAGTGCATAGGTTTTTCAGAAGAACAGATCTGCATTGTGATCTGCATTTTTACAGCTTTCATTTTAAACCAGGGTCTGCATTAAAGGTTTGCTCTCTCCTGCTGCTCATTCCCTGAAGTCACACTGACTGCCAAAATGGGATTTGACAGTGTCATAACAAGCAAAGTGTGGAAACCTCCAGGGCAAAATAAGCAGTCAGTACAGTTCTCCCCAACCTTTAATGATGCTCTGTACTTGTAATTCAATTGTATTCAGTTATGAGCAACTGCTGGGAACAAGAGAGCAATCTAGAGGAGCACACAGGCCTCCAGGCAGTCCCACACTGGGAAATCAGGCTGGAATCATGCTGGAATATGGACTTCCTCAGGTAAATTACTGCTGCATCCCTTCTTTAGCAAGCCACACACTAAACCACCACAGCACTTGCATCCATGCCAAACGTGGAGCACCCAAGAGCTCAAGAGCTGGCCGGCACTCTAATGCAGGCAGGCAGCCAACCCAGCAGCACTGGTTAACCAAGCTGCAAGGAATTTGCTTAAGAATTTTGGCAAGCCTCTGCTATATGAGAAAAATGCTTCATTTACCAAAGAATGTTTAAGTTCTTCCCTGCAGTAAACTCCCAGATTCCCAGTGTTCCACTCTTTTTAACCTGGCCTGTCCAAAGAATTGCTTTCCTCAGCAACTTTACCCTAAGCATATCTATCCTTCATTTTGCAATATTAATGTTGCCTCCTTTCACACTGACTGAAACTTGCTCGATATTTATGTATTTATTTATTTATTTAAAATGCAAACACAGACATTTGGAATTTAGGATGAATTTTGCCTTTAACAGATAAAGGAGTGGAACAAATTGAAACAGTCCAGGCAGCAGTAAGAGAAACCATACAAATACTTGAAGGTTTTCTGTTTGAACAAGACATTGAAATCTGAGTGCTGCCTGATCATTCTTCATCTTCAACTGTTCACTATTCATTTGTGCTCTCTGAAGAGCAGTTTAAACATCCCACCTCTCTCATTAAACAAAGATAAAATCAAATCCTCTCATCTATTAAAAGAGACAACTAAGAAAAGTAATAAGACTGTTTATTAAATAAAACCCCTGATTTTTAAAAAGAAAACATCAATAATCTTAGTTTTCTGTTTGGAACAATTAAAATAATTCATGGAGGGACGATACCACTGTCCTGTAAGGAATCCCTTGCTCTCCATCCCTCTCTCCTGAGGAATCCCCTATCTGAAGTGTGCCAGCTTTCCCTTGTATGTCCTGTGCTTGTTTAAAACCAACAGCTGCCCTGGGTCACCTGGAGGAGCTGCGCTCTTTGCTCACGCAGTCGTCCTGGGAAGTCGTGTCCCCGTTCCCCATCATCCCGCATGTCCTCCGCTTCTTCCTGCGGTGCATCATCCCCTCTGTCTCAGAGCCAGAGTCACACTGCACGATGGAGAGATGAAACCACAGCTCAGAGGAACCCCAACCACTGTCTGTGCTGTGCAATTCACCACAAGTTCTTTGAGCTCAGCAACCCTGAACGTGCTGTTTTAGGCTAGACACATCAAGGAACTTTTAAATTAAGCATTTAAAAGTCAGGAACAGAAACGTTTTTGGATTTCATCACTGGCTAAAACTGACTTGAGGCAAGATGATGAATGTGTTCCTTCTGGTCCCTAGAAGGACCTCTGTCACAGACACATTTTCTGAAAAATCCTTTCCTTAGGATTTTTTCTCCTGAGAAGCTGAGAGGCCTCAGGAACAAAATGTAACCAATGGTTATCTGCTGCTGTGGAATGCAACAGGTGCATCTGGGATTGGGCTCGTGTGGGTGTTTTTAATTAATGGCCAATCACAGCCCAGCTGGCTCAGACTCTCTGTCCAAGCCACAAGCCTTTGTTATTAATTCTTTCTTTTCCTATTCTTAGCCAGCCTTCTGATGAAATCCTTTCTTCTATTCTTTTAGTATAGTTTTAATATAATATAGATCATAAAATAATAAATCAAGCCTTCTGAAACATGGAGCCAGATCCTAATCTCTTCCCTCATCCTCGGACCCCTGGGAACACAGTCACAGACCTCATCTTCCAAGAGAGGACTTTGGCTTCTGAAGGATTTAGGTGTCAACAAGAGTCCCATGTCATAGTCCCATGTCCCATTTTTTCCCCGCCTCTCCCAATTTTTAGAACATTCACTTTGCAGCTATTTTTCACAAGCTAAATGAGTGACAGATTCATATATAATATAGACATGGATCAAACAGATTGAATCCATTTAGCAATGTGAAGAGAGGCTTCAGCAAACAGAACCTGCTAAGATCTCAGGCTCCTCCACCATGTAGATTGGTTTAGCTGCTTTCCATTAATTTATTCCATACAGCATGAATATAAGGATGAAGGCACATGATCAGGTATGGAAAAACAATATAAATGCAGAATATGGATCACCTATTGCAGTAAAAAGCATTACCTCTGAATCAGAGTCTGAGGAGCTGGAACTTGATGAACTGGAAGAATCACTAGAACTGTCGGAAGCGATACCAGTAGATTCCTGCAGGTCAACTGAATCAGCTAAGGCTGCCAATTCAGGATGCTCCTGCTTTAGGATCCTAAATACAGTTTAAATTTCAGGGTTAGGCTTTGAATTGTAACACTGCACTTTAATTAATATTTTTAGGCTTTGTTTTCAATGGAGAACATACAAAGAAAGCCACTGAATGTCTTACCTGTACCATTTCCGTGACAGTTTCGGTCTCCCTCTTACTGTCTTGTGCCACACCACTGGGAAGTTGGTACAGCTGGCAAAGTTTTGTGTGATGGCAATGGTTGTGTCAAGATTGAGGACCACGTGCCACCAACCACCTAAAACACAACACCAGGGACTGTTGGTGGCTGCCTGGCAGAGAGCAAGTTCAAGAACACCTTTCCCACAGTGCAGGTGGAACTGGACCTTATCTCCCAAACCCAGGGGAGTTTCCCAACCCATCACCTTTCCTGTCTTATTTCAGCTTTCACCCCAGTGCCTGACAGGTTCTTGTTACAGAAGGCAGCTCCAAGCTCTGACCAAATTACCCAGCTCACAGCCAGGACTGAAGATGTGACCTGACAGCACCACATTGGCTGCTGACAGCTGAACAGCAGCAGCCATTGTCACCCAGACTGCACAGAGCCCTTTCTGTTCAGCAGAGAGTGCTTTCCACGCTGATTTTGCAAGGTTCTTATGACTACAGACTAACCTTTCATTTAAACACAGATGCAAAATTGTTTTTCCACACGGGATAAAAATAGTGGAGTTCTTACAACCCACTTAGAGGCCCAGAAAAGACTGAGGGAACAGTTTAATGGAACCTGACAGCTACAAACTCTTAACAGAAGGTACACTCAGGAGTCACTAGTAAGTGCCAAGACAATCACAAGGCACCCTTCACACACCAAGTCAGCTGGATGTTAGACACAAGCAATGTGGACAGAAACTAGGGGCTGTGCTGCACATAAATGATGCAAGATTCAGAGGTTAGAATCTGCTACTGAACTCACCTCACCCCCACTTACAATGGGCACACAGTGTGCAGCCACTCAGAGGGAAGGGCATCTTCAGCAAAGCTTTATTTAGCTTTTGATTTCAAATGCAAGATGAAGCATAACCACAGAGAGGTGGGTGGAAGGTGTCAGTGCATTTAAGTAGTTCATTTCCCACAGCTAAGAAACATTCACATGCAAAATTCAGCCATGAATTTGCTCCAGCATGTATAAACTCAAACATTTTTGTCTAAGAGTTACTGGGGCTCGAACACCCCTATTATTTTATGCCCTGACAGCTTTCTATTACTGCAATTTAGTTCAGACTACATTCCTGTGATGCTGCAATTTAAATCCCACTTGTATTACATGCAATCCTATGCCACAGGTCACACACATTTTGTGACATTAAGGAGTAACTGAACAGTCCCAAAATGAGCTCAGTTTGTTTTGTAAGAAATGGGACCATCTAAGAAAGCTGAAATGTTCCCTTCATCTCTATGACACAGGAACATTACAAATAGGCTTTTTTTTCTCCCAGATTTCCTTCCTGCAGAGATTTGCACATACCTGGCACAAAGACTGTCTCTCCTGGTTTCTGTAAGACTTCCAGGGGTTTGAACTCGGGGGGCCAGGTGGGCAGCTGTGTCCGAGGATAGATGACATTGAACCAGGTGATGGCCTCGTCCTGCTGGTTGCCCCCCTCCTCCCGTGTCACCTTGATCAGCTCTCTGGGGGTGCTGGTTGGGAACAGGCACCAACGCTTATGTCCCTGCACTAAGGCATTCCATGCACTGGTTCCCAAGGGATCAATGTGAATTCCTGTTCCAGAACGAGGGGGGCCCATCACAAACCATCTGCATGGGGAGGAAAAATGCTTTAGTCATAGAGCAGGCAGGTCCCTTTCTTCATGTTAGACAGACAACTGGAGCAGCTCATTGCACATTCAGTTAGAAAATAAAGTAACTACAGTTACATCTACATTCTTGATTTTGTGAAGTTCACACTGCAGCAAAAGAATATAACAGGAGTTTAACCTAAAAACCAGTATGAGCTGGGAGAGGAATTGTTAGCATTCAAAAACACATAATCACATAAGTGATTATATGCAGTGCTTTTAATTCAAGAGCTCTGGGAATCGGGGTAGTTTCCACCCAAATCTGATTCTGACCATACATTCAAGGTGAACGTGTTTTATACTCTATCATTACATAACTTTCATGTTAATTATTAAACTTATATTGTTCTATTGTATATACAGATTTCAGCTAAACATAGCCCCCTTTAAATTTCCAACATAGTTTCTCACGATTCTTCTTATGGTTATATAATAATTATATTTAATTACTAAACAATCACCACATCTAACAATTATATCTTTTATCATACTGCTTATGCAGGTGCAGTGATCTGAGAAAACACAAAGCCTAATATTTTCAAAGACTATTTTTAACATTTTCCAGGGCTCCACTCTCAGAATGACTGTGGGATAAGTAAGTGAAAAGGACTTTTTTTATGTCATAGCTATATTTTGTTTTAAACGGTTCTTCAATAAAATCATTATTTCAAAGTTGATGAGCATGATTAAGTCCCAACTGCCTGTGCTGGGATTCTTCCTAATAAATAAAATCATTAATAAAATCATGCAATGAAATCATTATTTCAAAATTTATGAGCATGATTAAGTCCCAACTGCCTGTGTTGGGATTCTTCCTAGGGAGGGGGATTCTCCAATGGTTTTCTAGAATTTGCTGCTCAAACAGATCAGAACTGCAGAACAATGAGGAACAAAAGGCAACAACAAGGAACAGAGCAAGTTACACAACCCTGGCCTCTCTCTTCCCCTTCTGTTCATTCACAAGAGGCTTTTCATTCCAACACTTAACTACTTGGAGCTTATTCTCCAGTGACCATTCAGGATTTGAGGTTTATATTCCCACTGCCCATTTACAAGGTTTATTTCTCCCAGTGGAGAACTTTATCTACTGTACATGTTTAACTGCAGCAGCACCTTCAACTGCTCATTTTCCCTGGAACAGAGCAGTAACACCAACCACACCAGAAAAAGCAGAGTGAGGTGACTTCATACCAGGCAGCAAGAGGAAAAAATGACAATAATTGTTTAAGTGGCAGCAGAAAGTGCAGAAACCAAAGCAGCAACACAATCCCTCTGTGGTGTAGTGACAGGAGGGTGATGCCCAGCAAGAAGAATTCAAAGGTTCAGAAAACACAGCAAGTTCTCCATCTCCCCTTTCCAGTGCAGGTATAAATCAAACTGGTTTTAAAGGATCATTTGTCAGCATGAATTGTAGGACTGTAAAGTTTGATTATCAAGATGATTTCTTCCTGCTTCACAAAGGAGCTGTAAATAAGCAGGTGTTTGTCATTCCTATTGCCAATTCACTCTTTAGATTCATTTTATGCTTAGAAAGCTGATTAAACTATAGGTAGAACAGTCTAGGCTTTTGTTAAGAAATCAGAAGAAATTATACACATGAAGGTGTGCCTGGCACAGACAGAAGCAGTGCTCAACACCCTTTTTCTCAAAATAACCTGAATATACACACACAGGTTTTAAAACACTTATTTAGCAACGTTGTCATTTACCAGCACCTTCCTCCAAATACTTAATTTACAATGAACAAAACACAGTTTGCCCCAAGACATCAAACTTACCATTAAAAACTTCACAACTCCTAAAGTCAATCTGAAAGCAAACCCCAGCTGCCTTCCTCAAATTAAAATAGCTCCTTCAGTAAATGGCTTCCAGAAATTACTGGTTTGATTTTAAAGAGGAACAATGGCAATAAAAATGTCCAAAACAGCACCAATTGTTCTTTTAAGGTCTCCACACTATCACACAGCTCTCAGCCCAGAGATCAACCTGTAGAGGTCGTATCCTCCTCACATGATTAGCCCCACTTCTTGTCAGATTTTCAATTATGCTCTAAAAGTACTGCACACTCATTTCTGTACCTCGATGAGCCCTCTAACTCCAGGAGACATTACTGTGCTCTTGTGCATCACTCAGCTCTCAAAAAAAGCCTGAAAAATACCCACATTTTCCAGAACAAAGTACAAGAAGTTGGATACCAGGATCAAGAGCAAGGAGCTCAGCAGTGCCTGAAGGTGGGGAGGGTGTGGGGGACACAGACAGCAAAATAAATGAGTCACAACCAGATTCTCTCATTCACCTGTAACTTGGGTAAATGATTTCTAGGTCATTAAGTGTATTCAGTTTCTACTACACCCAGTGTGGTTTTGTGTTTGACCACAGAACATTGTATGTTCTTGGAAGAGAATTATGAAAAGCACTGAAAAAACACCTCCTTCAGTGATCTCAAATGGAATCAGGTTCTTGCTTCACTCCTGCAAAAGCACAACTGGACTACAGACACGTGAGAGAGTGCAGAGGAAAGTGCCATTACTGATGAGCTCTTGCTCAATTTTATTGAAATAAACCACATCACAGCCTCATGGCACTCAAAGAGCAACAGGCATTGTCTGACAATTATAATGTCACTGTAAAGGCTTTAATTACTTGGGAGGGTTCAATTTAAGCTCACAGTGCTATGAAGTGTCATAGACACATAGATAAAAATGGCTTTTTATCTAGAAGCCCAAACACAAAGTTGCTGCATTTGAATTTATGAATGAAATGTCATTTCACCCTCTTCCAAGCTGAAGCAAAAATAAAGAGTTGAAAAGACTACACAGGTGTGAAATATTGTTCTCTCTCAAAACCATCTGAAGGGGAGCTAAGAACTGGTGCCCATATTAGATCCTAATCTAGCTTAAGATCTTTACCTTAAAAGGAGTGACTCATAATTAAACAAAATTCCACACTGTACATAAGTCACTGGTGCAAAACCCAGGAGCTGTTCTTGAGGTATTTAAAATTTGAACACTAGAATGCATACACAGCAAGAAAATGATCTTTACAGCTCTCAGTAACTATGTATTTTTTGAAAAAAACCCAAGAAGTGATGTAAACTAACTTAATAGAATGAAAAAAAAACCCCTAAACCATATACCTGTAGGAACACTGCTGGCAAAAAGAGAAATTATGATACAAATAATTTAAATTTAAAAACTTATTATAAATAAAAATCTGGCCTTCTCTCCTGCAGGATTACAGAGGTACACTCATTTCAGAGATGATGTAAAAATATCCCTTTTTTATGTGAGACAATCCCAGCTATTTAGGAACAACCAATGAGCTGGAAAACACCCAGTTTTGTCTTGCTGTCACTCTACCTGTAGGGTGGCCTTCGTTTCTCCCCTGCATACTGAAACAGATCATCAGTGAAGAATTTGGGGACCTTGTAGTCCTCCAGGAGTTTCCTTCGTTTGGGATGCTCTCCATAGCTGCTGTCAAAGATGTACAGGGGGCTGTCATCACGTGTGGTTTCCATGTACTCGATGTAATATTTCATCTTCATCTTCACAGAGTAACCATCATTGTCCTCCCCACACTTGAACTTCTGGTTCCTGTACTTGCGTTTCAGCCGCTCCAGCGTCCACTTCTCCTGGGCAGACCAGCCCACCTGAGCGTTCAGCAGCACCACGGGCTTGTAAGGCTTTTCATACCGCTCAACAAACTCCTCCACTGTTAACTGGAGTGCATCGGCCCTCTCCACGTTATCCTGTGAAACAAAGGCAGGAAAGCAGGACAGATATTAGGACAGACCGACGTCCTAGGGCTGCGCTTGCTTGTGGGGGTGCTTCACACGTATCCTTTGCTCCACACACCACGCGGCTGTGGAGCTGCCTCTGGGTTATTTTAAGCTCCCCGAGGCTGCAGCCCCGTTTCTCCTGGCCCGCTCCCTGCACACATCAGTGACAGCCGCCACCTGGAGCCTTTGGCACGGCTCCGCACCGAGGCAGCTCCTGGGGCGGAGAGGCCACCCTGCCCTTTCGGCTGACACATCCCTGCTGCGTGTCACTCCCTCGGGACAGCGGGAAGCGCTCCTGGGAGTTGTGCGGGTGCCCGTTCCACCCCAGCGGGCCCTGACCTTCCCACACGCCTCGCCACGTGGAGGGAAGAAAGTCCCGTCCCTCACCCAACCTCTCCGTGCCGCCAGCCGTGAGGCAACCCCAGCCTCGGGCAAGGGCCCTTCCCGCTTCCCATCAGCCGTCCCGCAGCTCCCCCTTCACCTCAGGCATTCCCAGTCCCCTCAGTCGCCCGCTCCATCCCCGTCCCCTCAGGGCTCCCCGACCCCAGCCGTGCCCTCACCCCACTTCCCCCAGCTCCTTCCGTTCCCCTCAGGTCTCTTCCCTTCCCCGCAGGACTCGCTCAGTTGCGCCTCCCTCCATTCCCAATTTCCCCCCTCCATTCCCCATTCCCACCCTTTCATTCCTGATCCCCCTCTCTCCCCTCCGCCCGACGCACCTTGCAGGCGGTGGGGCTGAGGGGGAAGGTCTCGCA